AAACTACGTCACCTCTCACTGTTTATGTTGTCAACATTTGAGATGAAGTGTTGTCATAACTCTCCCTCTGTGTGTGTCTGTGTTTGTGTGTGTGTGTGTGTGTGTGTGTGTGCTATCACCAAGCAATCAACATCTGTCCTTTTGAACGAGTCTCACGAGATGTGGAGAAACGAGTGTGGACACATTTTGTGTGAACTGTCTACACTGGTTGTTCCTTCCTGTTCCAGCTGACTTGTAGATGCCTGCTGGTGCTCCTCATCCTCGACGTTTTCATATGACAGCAGATTCACTGACACACGGCTCTCGGGTGCACGAGAGCCGTGTTGCTGATGTCAGCGTTGATATTAAAGTCAAGTTGTCGATCTTAATTTTTAAATGAACGAGTGAATACTTGTGTTTTGGTGTCAAGCAGAAACGAGTGGTGTCTTGTCGGCCCACTTTGACGTATCCAGTTTTATTTGTGTAAGCACCAAACCATAACTTCATATCTCATCATCATATCTGAAGGCAGTTTACTTAGAAAGGTTGAGATATACTTACACATACATGCATCTCATAGATTGATGCTAAGTTAGCCAGGTTATGTAAACCTACGGACGTCTACGTTCTGTCTACATTCACTGAGGTGTCTCGCTTCACTCACAATACATAGATGAGTAGATGATAAAATGCTTTTGAACTACTAATAAACCCTGTCAGTCACTGTCGTTGTGTTCCCAGCATTGTTGTGTGGTCTCGTACTCTGCACGGACGTGGAACGTATTCTGCATGTGGTGGTTGTACACTGGGAAGCTACAATAACTTGTTATGATGTGAGCTAAGTGACGGCTTCAGTGCTCATCTGCCAGAGACTCACTCACTCACAGCCAACACTGTGCTGACGCTCTCTTCAGTCTGGGTCACGTTCACATGAAAAGCATCCACATGATCCACACTACACTGTGTGTGAGACGTGCATGGTGCAGGGGGCTCACAGAGGGATTGTGTCTTGTTTTCTGCTCTGTGACAGTTTGCTGAACTATAACACTGGTAAAAGCTGTGTTTCCTGTGTGTGTGACATTGCTCCCATGATTCTTGAGACGGTTTGTTAGAACTTGAATATTTTTCACTGATCGTGACTGATGCACAGACAGATCACAACCTGCGTAGAGGGTATTTATCCTCACACAGACACTCAGACATGTCCTCCTTGTCCTTGTGCAGGCTGCGGCAGGGAAGCTCTCGGTGGACGGTTTGCTGCAGATGTCCAGCTCTGAGCTGAAGGACACAATGAGACGCCTGGGCTCCAACTCGGAGGATCGTTCTCGCCTCACTGCTGCCCTCTCCTGTCTGAAGAGTGCCGATGAAACAGGTGTGCAGAGAACACTGGCCTTCAAAACTGTATAAAATAAATAAGGTTCATTTACTCATTATGTTTAATCATATTTTTGATGGATTCATATTTGATATATTTAACGGCCATACTGTTTTTGTGTTTAACATTTTTTTTTTTTAATTCAAACGTGGGTTTTTCATTTTTACTCTGAGACATTTGTAGTTATTTCATTCATTGAAAATATATAAAGAGATATTTGCCCCAGTTAATTACACCATCAACAAATATTTTTTAACTGAATCAGATCACAAGCCATCTCAGTGTCCTTCCTGTCCATACTGGCAGATCAAGACATCCTCCTTCATTTTTTTCTGTAGTTGCTTATATGTGGCCTTTCCTCTTTGACTCCAGGTTGCGACCAAAGGTCTGACTCAGACTCCAGCAGATCTGAGCACCGGCAGGACAGTGATCCCTTCTCTCCCGTTAACCCACCGCCCCTGCAGCCCACCAGCCCCCGCAGCCACTCCGTCTCCCTATCAGTGGCACCGTTTTCAGACAATCAAAGATCATACGTGTCACCTGACGAAACACCCGATGTCTTCACCCTGGACCCAAGCACCCCTCCGATCACCCAAACGCCAAAGACGCGCACCGCCAGGGCCTCCAACACGTCACCGCCACCTTCCCGAAAGCTGCTGCAGTTCCTCCCCAACATCACAATGACGAGAAGCAAGAGTCAAGAGTCGCAGCTGGCCAATCGCATCGAGGAACCTGCGTCACACAAGTGGGTTTTTATACTATTTATACTACAGTCATGTCTTTGTGACAGATATCTTCTCATAGAACAGGCAGATTTCCATGAACCATGTGTTTTCTCTGTCCCTTCCACTGTCCGAGACATGTAGACTGGGGTTAGGGGACTGTTGGTGTGAATGAATGGCTGTTTGTCTCTACGTGTTGGCCCTGCGATGCACTGGCGACCGGCTGTACCCCACCTCTCACACAATGTCAGCTGGGATTGGCTACAGCGCCCCCTGTGGCCCTTACAGGATAAGAAGTGTAGCTAATAGAGGGACAGATGTAATAAATGGTTCTTAACTGAAGGAAGACAAATCGAACATCCTATTACACCAATGTTAACATTTTACTACTGACATGTCAGTTCTTTGTCAGTGATTTGTATTGCACAGGTGACTTGTGTCACAGAGATGAAGGGGACTGCATTAAGTGCCTGTTGCTCTCTGCAGGACCTGTAAGAAGAACAAAGTGCTGGCTGCCATTCACATCAACGGCTGTGGGAACGGTCCTGAGGACTCGGTGCTGCGCTCGCCGCTGCCTTCTGCCCGAACGCCCGGCCCTGTCCCTGCCTCGGCCCCTTACATGATGCCAGCCGTCCCCACCCTGATGGACAGTGAGTCTGCCGTTAAGAGACTGGTGCTGGATATTCTGGGATTCTGTTTCATTTTCATGTTTTTCTGCTCCTCGCAGATTTGACCATGCACAGAAGTTCCCCAAAGACAATGAGGAGAGACATTGGCCTGGCCATAACACACAGGTCAGTCGCCATCACCCCAACAGGCCTCCTGCCCTGTGTGGAATAAAGAAAGTGATAGTTTCTATACATAAAGCTGAGGACACTGTGATGGAGTGTGTGACTCAAAAACTGAATGAAAATATGGACGACACGTCTCCACTTCCTCCCAGTCAAGTTAAGTTGATACCAACCCGCGACAGACCGCTCGAATAACTCACCTGAAAAATTAACACTTGAACAAAGAAATTACCTGAAGTAACAGAAACCATCTTTGACCTTTTAATTTTGTCCAATTTCCTGTACCGCAGCCAGCCGCCACTAGAGGGCGAACAAGACTCTTTGGCTTCACTTATGGGGAGTGGTCATGACATCAATCTCTATATACAGTCCATGGTGCGAAAGGTTACACATGATGTAATGACACATTGCTCAATAGTGAGAGTAAACAAAAGTATTGCCATCAACCTCAGGACTGGATTAGATTATTTCAGGACAAATGACTCAATCATTTCTTCCCGTCTGATTTTAGTTGACTTCTCATTTCACAAATCTTCTTCAAGAGGTCAAAGACTGAACACGTTGACAGGAAACAGACATTTAAGTGTACAATCTTCACAGATTCGTTGTTCACAGGGATGAATTAGCTGTATGTTGGATGGTCGTACAAACAAACAGGCCCATGAATGTTCCGCTATCGTTTCTGTGGTTTCCTGTGAACTCCCTGCGACAGTTGACGTGGGGGCAGACAGCGTGACTCGCTGAGCCCTCGCTCTGAGCCCTCGCTCTGAGCCCTCTGGTATGAACCTCTGTGGACTGTGTGCATCCGTGTTGTTAAAACGCAGGAATGTGAACATTGCAGAGCGCTCAGTCTAACCCAGTGTTTATTTTACCAGACTGTGAAGGTTTTAATATGAATCTTGCCTCTGCATCCAGCTGTGTGACATAGCTGCGTTATGAAAAAGGATTTGTGGCCAGCGTTTTTTTTACAAATCCCCGTTCTAGGGTAAAGTCTGTGTTTAACTCTCGAGCTTTGCACCCTGAGACTCATCCCACCACAAGCACCTCCAGCCCCATGAGGCCAAATCAATGTGTTAGAGATTAGAACCTGTGGGGGACGACCTCTGGGTCAGAATTATACGGCCTAAAACAGAACGGCAGGTAGAGTCCTCATCACATGTTAGAGGACAGTGTCTCCATGATGTACAACCGTGTTTTTGTCCGTCTTCTGTCCTTTGTAGGTTTTCAACCAAGTCCTGGCTCTCCCAGATATGCCAAGTGTGTCACAAGAGCATAATGTTTGGTGTCAAGTGCAAGCACTGCAAGTAAGAGACCTTAGATATGAGCTCCCCCAGCATGTGATCATAGTGCTGCTGCTTACGTTGTCATCATTAAACGTCCTCATCCACGTGTTCACAGGTTAAAGTGCCACAACAAATGCACCAAAGATGCTCCCTCATGTCGGATATCATTTCCCACAAGTAAGCAACGTTATCATCTCTTTTTCTTTTCCATTCACTTTTTCTTTTTCTCCCGCTTTTAATCCAGTTGTGTTTTTTTTTTTACCACAACATCTACAGCTGCTGTCAGTCGTGTCTGTGGACTAATCATTAGTCTGTGACCTGTCAGGATTTTGATGTGTTTTGCTCTTGAGTGACATTACTGATCACATTCAACACGTTTGCTCCCGTTGTTGACTTGTAGTGCCAAGGATGCGCAGGGCAGAGTCAGTGCCATCAGATATCAATAATCGCATCGATCACACAGGGCAGATCCCACTGCAGTATGGCACTTTACCGAAGGCATTAAACAAACGGGTAAGAAGAGTTTTTACTACATTTATATGCTTTTAAGGCTTTTGCCTCAAGATGATTGTTCGGGCAAAGATCAATATTGAGCAGAGATAAGTTTATTGCATTGCAAACACACTGTGCGTGGTGTGTGTGTGTGTGTGTGTGTGTGTGTGTACGTGCGTGTGTTTGCATTGACAGGAGCCTCCCCCCAATTTAAACCAGTTGGATTCCAGCAGTAACCCATCGTCAGCCACCTCCTCCACACCTTCCTCCCCAGCACATTTCCAGCAGAGTAACCCCCCGAGTGTCAGCACCACCCCTCCACCCAACGGCTCCTGCGACAACCGTTTCCACTTCCCAGGTGACCGTGTTCAAAATTGTTTGAAAAAGGTTGCTTGTCATTAAAGTAGTCTACGTTCTTCATTTGGTTTTGTGCCGTGGTGCTCATGCTCTTTCTTAAAACTTAAGACTCTCTCTTGTTATTAACTAATCCCTTCTATATATCTATATCTAACAGTACATGTGAGAATAGACGGAGTGGTTTAAAAACAAACTAAATATGAAATTTGCTCATTGGTTCCCACACTAGTATGTTGTGTCCTTTATTTTAAATTCATTCACAAAGTAAACACAGTAAAGTATTGACAGAATGCAACATTTGTGAATGATGATCCTTACTCTTGTATTTTCCAACAGATGTTCCTGCTTCCACACATGCAGCTGTTCTCCATTCTGGCAGCAGCCATGAGTCTGGGTAAGAGACACTGACACAGAGACTCAGTGAAACACTTCATCCACTACATACTACATGTGCCACACTGTCAATTGTTAGCTTATCACCGATACGGGTTTTCTTTATCTTATATTTATGTCAGCGGAGAAATGTCACGTTTAGCAATTGTCTTCATTACATAGTCTGTCCTCTAGAGGGCACTGGAAATTGCCTGGCTCTCGGACATGATACTAAAATACAAAATGTTAGAATGTTTATTAAATTCTTATTTTTATTTAATGGTTCAGTCTTTTGTGTTCACAGTCTACACACATAATGTGTGTTGTGTGTTAATTGATAGTAAAATATTATCGTTATATATAGTTGAACCATGTATTTGATATAGATGTGAGTAATACATTGTGTTGTTTGTTAAAATAGATTGTGTTTGTTTATAATTGTAACTCATATGAATATCTGACCATATTTTAAATGCTGCTATTTCCAATTGTCTAGTGACTTTCTTTACATGAGTCCTTCTAGTGTTTAAGAAATCCCTCAGCAAATATAAAGATTTTGTCGGCAGCTAATTCTTCTGATTTTCTTTCAGAGTGTCTCCGCTGGTCACTGAGACACAGCGACCATCCGTAGAACGGGACGGGGTGAGTACCAACAGTCAAAAAACGTTATTTGCTTGGCTGCTTTGTTTGCCGATGACTGTCAGTGAACTGTAGTGGAGCAGTCTGAACAAGCTGAGGTGGTCTTGGTCAGGATCCAACTGAACTATGGCTCAGTTCAATTGCACTAAACCCTTTTTGGTAGTTCAGTGAAGTTGAGACAGTTTTAAACAACAGAAGAAGAAAACGAACACACACACACACACACACACACACACACACACACACACACACAGGATTGATTATAATTTGTGGCTCTGTTGGAGCTAATTTGTTTTCCGTAGTGTTTAGTTTTTTGTCTTGTGTAACACAAATTCGATTATGCCTTTAGAAATATTATTTCTGTAGTTTTGGTGGTTTATGCTTTTGTTTTGAAGGTGCTGGGCACCAGCCGGTTTTTATATTTACATGGGGAGGTGGGCATAGGCAGCCAGGCACCGGGAAGGGTTCATGGTTCATTTTACATTTTACATTTTTCATCAATCAGTATAGAGGTAGATGCAGCCCACGTAGTAAGTGACGACAGGATGTTAGTATGTCATGTTTCAATGTGAGGACGCCCTAAAAGTCTGTGTTCATTCCCCTAATGTGTCTCAGGAGGACGAGGCTGAGGAAGCAGCTGACCAGTGCAGCAGTAAGAACAACGATCCAAATGAGGCGTGTGATGAGGACGGACTCGAGGACCTGCCGTCTACCATATGCCGGCGGACCGCTGGCCGGTGGAGGGGCCAAATCTCTCGCAAGGTCAGCCAGACCAGCATCTACCTGCAGGAGTGGGACATCCCATATGAGCAGCTGCAGCTGGGAGAGCTCATTGGCAAGGTGAAGACGGAGAGGTACACATTATCAACATTTGGGTCAACACAGCTGACACGTTTGACTTAATGTGACTGAACAGGGTCGCTGGGGGAAGGTGCATAAGGGCCGCTGGCACGGCGAGGTGGCCATTCGCCTCCTGGAGGTTGACGGACACAACCAGGATCACCTGAAGCTCTTCAAGAAGGAGGTGATGAACTACAGGCAGACCAGGCACGAGAACGTGGTCCTGTTCATGGGCGCCTGCATGGCTCCGCCCCACCTCGCCATCATCACCAGGTGCGGCAGCTTGACCCGTCGGATAAGAAATAAAATAGAAATGAATTCTCCACTTCTCTCACACATGTTTTATTTTGTGTGATAGTTAGTCTAACTAACAGGGCTCCGTGTGTTCTGTCTGCAGCTTCTGTAAAGGTCTGACTCTCTACTCTGTTGTGAGGGAAAGAGGTCACATGCTGGACATCAATAAAACCAGACAGATCGCACAGGAGATCGTGAAGGTGAGCGAACACTCCGGCTGCTGTCCGACTGTGTGAGATGGATGAAACCAACAAGAGATGCTATCACTCGTGATAATTGCATAACAAGCCTGATATGATCAGATGGTTTTAACTGAAGAGATTTATCAGTAACAGTCTGAGAACATGAACAAATAGCTGTAAAGAGGTAAATAAGGGTTGTTTGGACACTGTTAAGAATTCAATGGCTCCTGTCCTTTCACCTTTGAGGACATTTTGGTAAAAAGCTTCTCAGACACGTCAGTAGTGTGTATTTATATGTCAGAGAGCATTTTTAACTGTGTCCTCATTCTGTTAACATGTTGTTCAAATTTAAAAAACACATGTAGGTCATCGTTTTTATCATCAACTCTTAAATATCAATATCAAGGATTTCTTGCGGTCGACCACAACCAAACACGTTCTCCTTTTCACTTCTTTCTTTGCAACAGACACAGTGTCTTGCACATTGTCTGTTTCTCTCTGATACCGATGATAATGTGGCGCTGACGAGTCAAATGATGGAGTATTTTATTTATTTGTTAAACTTGTATTAAAGTATAATAAGATGCTCCGTATTCCTCATTTAACAAACCAGCTGATCGTCTGAGATTCCTGCAAATTGCAACGGATACGGGGGCAACTTAAAAGGGAGATTAATATTAAGACTTTATTCTTTAGTCTGTCAGTCCTATTCTCATCCTCCTCATGAGAAATATGTTGTGTTAAGGAAATCCCTCTCTTCTACAGGGAATGGGTTATCTTCACGCTAAAGGCATCATCCACAAGGACCTGAAGTCCAAGAACGTCTTCTGTGACACAAACAAGGTTGTCATCACAGACTTCGGCCTGTTTGGGATGTCTGGAGTGGTACAGGAGGGCAGGTAGGGAGTGAAGCAGAGGAATACTAAAAAACATTTCTGGAATCAGTTGCTATCTTCATACCTGCGTGAGCTGAGTGTGCGTTCACGTGTGTGTTTAGAAGGAAGAACGTGTTGAGGATCCCGCAGGGCTGGATCTACTACCTGGCTCCAGAGATTGTTCGGCAGATGAGCCCAGAGGTGGACGAGGACCAGCTGCCTTTCTCCAAAGCTGCTGATGTTTACGCATTCGGGTACAGACTGATGTTGATAACTCTTAAACAGTCGGCTTAGGGTGAAACAGGAAATCTGGTTTCACAGTCCCCAAATTTCCCCATCTGACTTTTACGCCGTGTCTTCTTCAGCACGATCTGGTACGAGCTGCAGGCCTGCGACTGGCCGCTCACCAACCTGCCTGTGGAGGCTAAAATCTGGCTGGTGGGCAGCAACGAGGGCATGAAGAAGGTGCTGGCAGAAGCCAACCTGGGCAAGGAGGTCACGGTGGGTCTGCTAACGTGATGCAGTCCCGGCTGATTTGATTGCTAGTAAATATCCTGCGTTTAAAACCTCCTCCTGTTTCTCTATTCCACCCCAACAGGAGATCCTGTCCGCCTGCTGGTCCTCTGGGACAGACGACAGGCCCACCTTCACCCAGCTGGCAGACATGCTGGAGAGACTTCCCAAGCTGAACCGCAGACTGTCTCACCCAGGACACTTCTGGAAGACGAATGAGTATGTATCATAGGAAGAACGTGCATTCCTGATCCAGGGTGAACCAGCCTACAACACTGTTCGCACCAACATTTTATTTAGTGATAAATACATCATTCAAATCCACGTTTTCCCGTCATGAAAGCTTCAAAGTGAAAGCACGAAGACAGAGGTGGGTTTGAGGAAAAAGTACCAATAAGTGATAAATCAAATGGAGACGTTGTAAATAGGATTTTGTAAAGAAATGTGAATATTATGAAGCTATCCTGCTGAGTATCAAGTAATATAAAAGATCTTCTCTAATGTGACTGCTGTTTTGTATTTCGGGGAAATGTTCATATTCTCTTCAGCGTTTGAGTTGCTGCTCTCTACACGTCCCTTCTCTTTTTCAACAGACACTGTAATAGTGTTTCTCACATTCTGAAGTAACTCTTCTCTCTTGTGTTTCTGAGAATCACTTCTCCTTATTTCTTCCCTCTGTCACTTCCTCTCGGGGGCCGACTGATCCACGTTGCTGCTCCTGCTGTGCCTGATCTTCTGCCGTCTCACTTGGAACCTGCATTTTCTCCTCCATCTACACCTCTGTCTGTATTCGCTCGCTTGTTTTCCAACACTCCTGATTTCTGTCTCTTCACTCCGTTCATCTCCCGGTGAAGGTCGTGGGATCGTCATCACTGTCTGAGAGATCAGTGCCATCAGGGCCTGCATGCAAACTGTCCGTACACGTACAAATACAGCAGCTGATGGTGCTCTCTAGAACCGACACCGGATTTGAGCAAGTACTGACTATATTATTAGGATTCAGTTTTTATGTGGAGCATTGTTCGAATCGATTCGTGTTATATTTATTCTGCCCACATCGATATCAAACCTCAAATATACGAGTTAGACGGACAGAACTTGCGGACTTGTCACGCGAGGGCAGCGTCGAACGACAGAGACACGCGCCCAAAGCATCTTTTGGTTTATTTTGGATATACTCAAGTATAACAGACATTAGCCACAGAGCATGACGCTCACCAAACGCACCAGAACGATCACTTGAGATAGAGGATCGTGCCGATCCAGGGAGTGTTATCAAATAGCTGATTTCCTGAAGAGGTCTGAGGGTTACTCTAAAAAAGATGTGGTTAAGAGAAGTAAAGTTAAATGCAATAAAAAATCAGCCACTTGTAAATTGTATTAATTTCTAGTGTTAAAATGAATGAATGTGTCTTTCTTTCATGTTGTTATTACACATTTTCTTGTAATTTATTCTGTTTTTACAAGAAATAATAATGAAACACGCCACTCGAGTCAAATGAGTAAACTTCCCTAATGAAGCGTTTTTTTCATTTCGAGAAAGTTTTGTGGGGTAAGCAAGCGATTTTATTTCCACTAAACTTCCTCGCGAAAACAAATCAACGAATCTGAAAACGCTCGTGGTTTTCGTTGCGAGACATTTATCGAACAAAGAGGAAAGAGAGTTTTCTGCAGAAAGGCTCCCGCTGCTTCACCTGGTGATACAGGAAGGAAGAAAGTAAGAGACTGGAGTTAGTGGCCTATAGACGACTTCCTCACATTCTGCCGCTGCACAGAACACAGCTGTTCAAATGTTCAGACGTCAGCACACTAAAGGATTCAGAGATTTAACGAGAGCTGCAGATGAATCAGTCGTATTGGTTCAGTCCTCCATCGAAGCCTGGCAGCAGGTCGACGCTGACAATACTGGTTTTGTTAAATGCAAAAGAAATGTGTGATATTGCCACAGGTGTGTGTGTGTTTGTGTTTGTGTGTGTCTGTGTGTATTTCTTGTGTGGTTCTGTATCACTCAAGTGAACAAAGTGTGTGGTGACATGGTACACTCACTGATCGTGTTTGAATGTTTTTGGGCTTCACAAATGCAGTGGAAGTCAAACGTAATCAAGCATTAACCTTAGTGCGTATATGTATATAAAGTGCTGGAGGTTGTATTTAATATACAGTGCTGATGTTTGATTCGTTATTGGTACTTTCATATTTATACAGAGAGATTTTAGACACTGTAAACTGTTGACAGTTGATTGGTGTTTTTCTTTTTTCTCGGGGCGGGCTGGGAGAATTTTTTTGTACAGGATTTGTGATACTGGTTTCTGTTCTGAACTGCTGTAAACATTAAAACTGATCTCCAAAGATTCTGTGTGAGGCTGTTTTTTTTTTTGTTCTTCACAATAAGACCTGTAAGAGCAAGCAGAGTGCGCTCGACCGAAGTTCTTTACGAAGTGAAAAGTACAACAAGAAAACATCAACTCGTAACATATTAAAATACCAATGACAATAAAATCAAATCTGCGGGGATGAAAACATTCTCGACTCGAAAAGAAGAGATGAAGGATCGTAAATGACAGAAACTCTCAGTGAGGATTTGACGTGTACAATAAGATGATATTCTAATTATGTGGTCATCTTTTCCCATCAGCTCCCAGGGAAATGAAAGAACTTGCAAAACAACACATCTGCACTCTCTTATGTCGAGTTTCACTTGGAATCTAATCACACACTTACACACACACACACTTCGCAGTAAGTAGTTCAACAGTTACATCTTATCTTCCCTCCTTGAGACTGGTTATTCATCAACTTGTGTAATAAAAACTGCTGTGGTCAGTACAGGAAGTGACCTCCTGTTCCCGCTACACTAGAAAAAAAATAAAAAATGTATATAAATTAATTTCCTTAAAAAAAATGGTACGAAATGAGCATCTTAAAGATTTATCATACCTCAGCATTTCTCTCAGTTAGCTGTACCTTGCATTACTATTTTATTTAGTGTCGAGTGATTTCATTTATAACAGTGGACCTCACATTTTATAGGATCACACGTTTATGTGTAAGTATAATTATTAACTAACATACGACGAGGCTAATTAAAAGTTGCAGTAACTTTTAACTGCTGAGCATGGTGTTTCATGTTAATATTGTGTGTGTTAACCTTTATTTTAATTAAATGTATATACATATATATATATAAAATTATATATATATAAACTATACAATATATAAATTAATGAAATAACAGCAATATACTATTTGCAGTTTTGAGATAGTTTTTTTAAAGTGTAGGTAAAGAACATAAAATATTAAATATAATGGGGGGTTCGAAATAAAGATGATATTCGATGATGCTCGGCTCCGTAAAACCATTACATTCAATTAAACAGGCTCGGGGGCTGTGTTGCAATTCAACTGAATGATAATTAAATAACAATTATACATTGAAAACTTAATTCTAAGCCAATTATAACTAAAGGACATGAGAGACTAAAGTACTTCAGTGCATATACAGTTACTGAAGTGAAAGTTTGAATGCAGGAAGTGAGAATTCACGTCCAGTGGTTTGAGGTCACACATAACAGACGTGTAATGATCGAGGAGGATGAAGTGAACACAGAGACACACACCCATTCTTCACTGACTGGAATCGAAACCTAACTGACTTGCGGAATAAAAGTCTCCATATTTTTTTTACAGGGAGGACTTGAACAAACCTGCGCAGCTCCAGCTCGGACCATGGCGTTCAACCAGCAACCTTTTTACAACCCGGTGAGTGAGCCACACGGTTTTAAACGTGTTCTTCTCAAATGCATTGACAAGACGACGCGGTTGTCGTGAAGGAGGAAGTAACGGTGCAGCTGAGCTCGGTCGGAATCTTTCTATCTTCCCGGATCTGCAGAAACACACACACACACACACACACACACACACACACACACACACACAACAGAGAATTTAATGTCAGAGCTCTCGAGTGAGTCCAGAAGATTCGTGGTTATGTTTGTCTCACTTTGCATTTGAGGAAGAACTCGCAGGACACGAATAAGCCAGGAACCAGGGGTGATGTAGGTTTAATGTGGATCGGATACTGGTTCAGAGCTGGAGCTCTGTTCAGACTGTGCTCTCTCTCTTATCTCACAGTTTAATGTCACTTATTATGGACGTTCGATTCATTTTAATGCTGTTTATATGTTTTTAATCTGCTCCTGTTTCATTATGGCACTCATAATTTTTATTTTTCTCAGCAGAAATGTTGAGGAAGTCAGCTCACTTTTCATTATAGCATTCATAACGTGCTCTTATTAAACATATATCTATACATATTATTTATTGTTTTGAACCTCAAGAGGTGACAGAGAATTTCCCCTTCACTCTTTTTTTGGATATTTGAATCTGTGTGTGAAGTTTACGATGATTTCCTGCAGAAATTATGAGAACATAAAAGTGAAAGTAAGCTCAATATTCATCACTTGAACTGAACCTGAAAGACACAGAGGAGGGTTGGTTTAGTGACTGAAGCTTTGAGACAGGCAGATAACACGCTGGTGGCTGAGCATGTGATCCTGTGAGCTGGGATAACTTTCACTGGCAAGGCGGAGGTTTCACTGGAAGCTCGGCAAAACAAGTCTCCACTAGAAGACGTCTTTACATCGAGACCAGATGTGGAACTCGTGCCATGTGCCAGGATCACCACACTCACACGGGGAAGGAGGAGGCACACAGATGACAGTATAAAACATGCAACATGGGGTTGTGATATTTATCCTCTGCGATAAAACCTAATGGTTCTTTTAATTGTGAGTATTTAACTTTGCCATGAAGAATAAAACTGCATCCTGTATTATGGTCTCAACCGTCCGTAGCTGAATATTGTACGATGCTGCTTTGACCTACGGCAAGTTTGTGTGTGTTTAAGAGTTAAATGTCCTAAAACTGGTGTAAAGTATCACGTATATTAAATACACTTTCTCTCAGTGCACGTTAGACCGTGAGCTGAGCTTTAATATTGTGCTGTATGTTAGCAGTTATAATGAAGAAGCAGCTGTTTACATGTTGCATCCTGTTCTGTCTAGATCGTCCCCTTCACTGGGTCGATCCATGGGGGTCTGCAGGAGGGGAAGGCGATCACCATCACTGGACAAGTCCGGCCTGGAACTGGCAGGTCGGGCTGCTTTTTATCATTTGATCATTTTAATCTTGGCCTTTCTTTATTTCTAAGCTGTATGAAATGAACCATTTCACAAAAGTAAGGTTCTTTCTCTTTTGTTTCTGTCCGTGTTTGTAAATTAGAGGCATCTTGTAATCCAAAGAAGGGAGGGGCCAAATGCATTGGAATGACACATAGATATAAATACGTCTATAGGCCTGTGTGTTTATTCATACCATTTATTTGTGATATATATTATGTTTTTGGTTTTCTTATCTTACCAAGAGGCCGTGTGCAGGGATTAGCAAAGTCTCAGCAAGAAGGTTCTTGGTTCGAATCCCAGTTCAGCTCAGAGACTCGCAGCATAAAAGACTCATAAATGATGTCAGGCTCTTACACACCATCAAATGACTTTTCACATGATTAAACCGATTGACCTCTCTCTTTCTTTAGGTTCCATGTGAATTTACAGTGTGGTTCCAGCCCCGGTGCGGACATTGCTCTCCATTTTAACCCCCGGTATGACGGGGACTCTTGTGTGGTTAGCAACACTTTCCAACATGGCAAATGGGGCGCTGAGGAGAGGAACAACAACTCCATGATCCCTCCTGGCTCTACCTTCTGCCTGCTCATCACAGTCTGCCGTGATTTCTACCAGGTCTGTCGAGACACAATTGTTGGCTGTCTGAAAATGATCTACTCCGTTTTCTCGGAGTAACGTTCCCGCAAATATTCACAATTCAGTGCCTGTAGATTGAAGAAAAGATATTTTATACAGAAGTTATTGTATCTGTAGCGCTTATCCCAGCCGACGTGGAAAGATCGCCAGCGTACGACAGGGTCAACATCATTAAAGTCATTGTCTGATGTAGCCAGTGAAACAAATCAATTGCACAGAGGCCTCAGACATTTCCAGTTCACCCTCACTACACATTTTGGTTGCACCAGGATGGTTTGGCTGTTGACATCTGATCTAAGATATATGACCAGGTGAGGACCCAAATGCAGATGCCTTAACATGTTGTCAACATATTTAGTCTGAAGTGTCCCATGTTCTTTCCACGTTCCGACTTCAAAGCACATAAAAACACCAAAGACAGAACGCCTCCACGACTTGGGCAATGGGATTTTCCAAGGAAACACAGGAATGCACAGAAAAATAAATAAAAGTTGATCAATAACTCACATAAAGACTGAGGAAATGTTGCAACACTGTCCGAAATCACCGTGAAGAGGTGAAGTGGCCATGAACAGCACGGGTTAAAAAAGACACAGGTGGTTTTAATGAAGCGTGGAGCGAGAAAATAGACAATGGCAGGAAATGAAAATTCTCTGAAACATGAATCATACAGGGAAATAAATCTAAAAACCATTCGCAAGGAAGACAACGAGGCTGAAACCACCTGTCGAGTCATCAAACTGGAATTCAAAACCTTTTCTGATTGTTAATTTTAAATTTGCTGTTTTCCAGCTGAAGATCAACGGCTGGCAGTTTATGGACTACAGGCATCGTATTCCATTTTACCCGGTGGACACCATCTCAGTAGGCGGGAACGTGACTATAAACTCCATCTCCTTCCAGAACCCCGTGGTGAGGATGTTGTTAGCATGTCTCTGTGCTTCATGTGCTATCAATGAATAGGAAAGTGAATGTGCTGTAAGTGGTTGTCTTTTACGCGTAGTTCCCCGGATACGGGGCCTTTCCTGTTCAGCCCGCCTTTCCTGCCTGTGTGGCGTTTCCACCTCAGTGTGGATTCCCCCCGCAGCCAAGCTTTCCTCCTGCAATGCCGGTGAGTATCAGACACGGTGCAGTTGCAGTTTCACAGACATTTACGACACCCGCAACACTTTTATCCCAGTCAAAGGGTCGAGAAACATATTCATCACTTACTTCCAGCTGGTCGTACAGTAGCTACTATATTTAGATTTGTTTTCCAATGCAAGAAAGAATAATTCATTCTGATTCCATCTCTGCACAGACTGTTCCATACAAGAACAGCATCAAATTCAAACCTGGAAAGTCCATCACCATCCAGGGGACCGTTCACCCATCAGCCACAAGGTTTGAGAATTTCTCATCACACGAGATGTGCTCGTTGTTCCTTCAGTCGCAGTAGAAAAGATGACACCGTGTCTGTGCACTTGAAGTCATCGCAGCAGTTTTCACTTCAACTGCAACTGCAGTATTCTGAGTTTTACAGCAAACCAAATATACAACCCACGTGTTTAGGGATAACCTGTATCACGTAACGATCCAGGTAGCGGACCTGGTTTATGAATGTGAGCTCAATCAGTCAATCAAAAAAAAAGAATGATGTGTTTTGACAGTTTTGATATTGTGACCACAAAGAAATCAACTGAGAAGAGGAAAACATATTTTCAATTCATAGTGAAACTGTAGTTGGTCAGAGACATCAGCTGAGTCGGGTTCACATTTTCTTTCACACAGCTGAAAGGACAATGTGAATCACTCGGCAGGTCAGCTTCATGGAACAATGTAATCAGGTAAATTACTTTGTTGACTGACACTTCAGGTAAAGTACAATGTAGTAAAAATACATCTTTATTATTTTCATTTAGGAGTAGAAGAACTGCAAAAAAACTAGAAAGAAGGAACTGAAAATGAAATAGTCCACACAGCTGTTAAGCTTTTAGGAGTGAGTGTGTTTCGATTCATGTGCCGAGCTATAGATGGAGCGCAGGATATCCCTTAAAGGTCTTGTTCTCCAGGTGGTTGTCTTCTACAGGGAGCATCAAGAGCAATAATGTCTCATGTCGGACCTTCCTCCGTGTCCTCTCAGGTTCCACGTGAATCTCAGCTATCACTTCGGCATCGCTCTGCATTACAATCCACGTTTCAGTGATAGCATTGTGGTTCGAAACACCAAGCAGGGGGAGCACTGGGGCAGCGAGGAGCGTGCTGGAGGGATGCCCTTCCACCGGGGACAGCCTTTCATGGTAAGGTGACTCACTCCGAGCCGGTGGAGACACAGTGTCCCCGACGACACGTCCACTTCCGAATCACCTTGTTGTATCCTCATCACTCACCCTGAGTCTACTCGTTCTCTAGTTCACTGGTTTTTCTTCACATGCGTTGATAAAATGTCCTGTTTGTCTTTCAGTTGACCATCTGCTGTGAGAATCAGTGCTTCAGGATCCTGGTCAACGGAGCCCAGGCACACACCTACAACCACCGCGTGCCTCCGAACAAAATTTCCTCTCTGGAGATCGAAGGCGACATCACTCTGACCTCTGTGGCGCTGTAGACCTGTGGCTGGCATCTCGACGTCTTACACCGCAAAACCACAAGTTATTGCATCTATCACTCACTTTGTGGTGATCAATTAAGATTTGGAATTTATTGGATATTGTATGTTCACCCTCTGCATCTTTAAACCGTATATAATCATACGCTATTTCGTCAAGACTGAAAGCAGTTCACCAACAGTTTGACTTGAGTCGTCTGCGGTTTGTCTGTTGTCTCACTGTGATGTCGGTGAGGCGGGAAGTTGAAATCACTGCACTAAAAGCAGCAACATTGCGACAGACAAAAAAGTCCTCAAGTTCTTCTGTTGTTTACTGGAATCCGCCTGAATGCAGCTAGAGAGAAGTAATTTTTTTATTCTTTTTTTTGTCGTAACTGTTTAATCTTTCATGCTTTGTGAAACTGGAGAAATTAAAGTTAAATATAAGAGCATTTGTTATGTTGTGTTGATTTCTCTTTCCTCCTGTAACATGAGTAGATGAAAGGTAACGTAACGACTGTAGTAAAGTAGATTTTAAGCGTTTAATTTAAGAAGTTCTCATGTTATTGACTAAGTTTATCAGCAAACACGGAAAAAAAAAAAAGAAAAAAGCTGAGTCTACTGGCACCAAAACTACAGAGTTTGCTTTTTGAATAGAACTAAGAAAAAAGTAAAGCACCTCGATGTCTACACCTCGAAGATGAAGATTTACTTCTCTGGAACACTGATGAACAAACAACACATGTCAATGCCACTCAACTTTTATTTGGTTTATTTAGTAACATTAACATTTTAATAAGTAACTAATTACTCCGCTGGAGCGGTCAGATAATCATGAAAACCCTGACAGGCAACAGATTGTTACTTCAATGACACCAGCAGAGACACTGTTCATGTTTCTCTCCCATGAGGAAACACACTGTGCTCCCAGCTCCTCGTGTCACTCGGCTGTAACCAGTGTTTCATCTGAGTCTGTCCTGAGTCTGAGCTGCTCCGTCACTGATGCACGGATGCAGGAAAAGAAATGTGCTTCACTTTACAACACAACAACAAGGACACAGATCATCTCTGCATCTCTGCAGCACTGCACCACTGTCCTCTGGTCACAGTCCCACCACATCAGACCAGTTCAATGTCTCTTACACTTCTGTCCTGTGCAGTTTAACTCTATTTGCACAAAGAAGTTGTGTTTATTGTTTGCTAGTGTCTTGTGTGTGTGTGTGTGTGTGTGTGTGGTTAACTGTCCATGTGTCCACCTGTGTAAGTACACCAGAGTCACATCCCCAGTGTGTGTGTGTGTGTGTGTGTGTGCACACATGCAAGACAAATAAACCAGATTGTGATCCAGCAGATGAAACACCCTGACTCACTCATTCATAGAAGTTATGTTTATTTTTTGCAAGTTTCTTGTTTGTGTGTGTTTAATATAGTTCTATATTAGGCTGTATTCTTTTCTTAAATAGAAATATCAAATAAGAAAATAAAATAAAAATGTGACACAAAACAGGTAGGTCCACACACACACACACACACACACAGTGTGCAGGCAGGGCTGTACCTCCGCGGTGCGTCCAGCAGGGGTCGCCGGTGCAGCGGCCTCAGCCGGAGGACGTGGAGCGGCAGCTCTGATCCAGTCTGCGGCTTCTGTTCCCAGAGCTGCGCCCATTAACCAGCGGTGCTCCATTTGCTCGTCCCGCGGAACAGTGAGTATTTCCTCCCGCCGTAGGGCCACCAGGGGACACACATTCTGTCCGTGGGGGTAGAGGAGGAGGAGGGCTGGGGCACGGACTCGGGACAGAAGTGGGGTTCCTCTGGACGGGCTCCTTCTCCGGGGGTTTGTTTCAAAGCGCCGAGGAGGCGACTGGAGCCAATTAGGCTAGTTAGCTAGCTGCGGTGCTGCTCACTGGGAAGTTCGGCAGAAGCGCAGAGCTCTGCCCGGACGCCGGCCTGTGTTTGTGCAGCGTGTTCCTTCCATTAGCAGCGGAATCTGAAGGTAAATATGAGTTAGGAGCGGAGGGTGTTGTTCCTCCACACACACAGACACACACACACACAACAAACAGTAGCTCTGCTAGCTAACGTAGCCGAGCAGCTACACCTTCCAGCGCTGTCATGCTTTTCTATCCGACCTCAAGCTTTGAGTCCGGTCCGGTGCTGCTGCTGCTGCTGCCCGGGCGTGGGCATCGTTTTCACCCGTAAGGAGCTTCCAGGAGCTTCCAGGAGCTTCCAGCAGCTTTAGAGGAGGCTGTTTAAACGCGTCCTCTCCTCGGCAGACAGGAGGCATGTTGACACAAAGCTGTGCTGTCACACCACGGCCCTGCACCCTGGAGCTGGAACTTCACCATGTTTCTGTAAACGTGCATGAATGAGTGAGTCAGGGTGTTTCATCTGCTGGATCACAATCTGGTTTTATTTAGTCTTGCATGTGTGTACACACACACACACACACACACACTGGGGATGTGACTCTGGTGTACTTACACAGGTGGACACATGGACAGTTAACCACACACACACACACAAGAAACTAGCAAAAAATAAACACAACTTCTTTGTGCAAATAGAGTTAAACTGCACAGGACAGAAGTGTAAGAGACATTGAACTGGTCTGATGTGGTGGGACTGTGACCAGAGGACAGTGGTGCAGTGCTGCAGAGATGCACAGATGATCTGTGTCCTTGTTGTTGTGTTGTAAAGTGAAGCACATTTCTTTTCCTGCGTCCGTGCATCAGTGACGGAGCAGCTCAGACTCAGGACAGACTCAGATGAAACACTGGTTACAGCCGAGTGACACGAGGAGCTGGGAGCACGGTGTGTTTCCTCATGGGAGAGAAACATGCCCAGTGTCTCTGTTGGTGTCATTGAAGTAACAATCTGTTGCCTGTCAGGGTTTTCATGATCCAAACAACTCATATGATAGAGCAACAAAAAAAAAATTGGGTTCAGATTGATTGATTGATTGTATCAGGAACAGGAACAAGAATACAGCCTATAGAAACTGACTGCTCCAGCTAAGTGGTTATTTACTGATTAAATGTTAATGTTACTAAATAAACAGAATAAAAGTGGATTCGAATGGTTGTAAATATGTATTTAAAGCACTGAAGGTGGGGGGCAGGTTGAGGAGGTCGTCCTATGAGCAGAAGGTTGGCAGTCGCTCTCCCATTCCATGTGCCGAAGTGTCCTTGGGCAAGACACTGAGCCCTAAATTTACCCTGATGTCTGTGCTGGTAGTGTGTGAGTGATGGAGACTGAGCTGCACTGTATGAATGAGTGTGAATGGGTGAATGGCAAAACTTAACTGTAAAGTGCATCAGAGTGGTGATCAAGACGAGAAAGACACTACTTAAAAACTAGACTGACACATTTTTCTCTCTCTGTCTCTTTCCCCAGGGGATTTGTCCCTGTTGGTCACAACCGAACCACCTGCTTGGTGAACTGGACCTCAAGCTCTGTCGGGAAAATAGAGACGGAAACGCAGCATTTCAAATTTCACCATGTTTAATCTAATGAAAAAGGATAAGGAGAGGGAAGGGAGTAGGAAGGAGAAGAAGGATAAAAAGGAGCGGATGTCTCCGGCAGAGCTGCGCAGCTTGGAGGAGATGAGCATGAGGCGTGGTTTCTTCAACCTGAAGAGGGAGGCGAAGCGTGAGTCCAAGAACAAACTGGAGATCTCCAACCCCATTCCCATCAAAGTGGCCAGCAGCAATGAGCTCACCCTCACTGACATTGAGTCGGACGGCCTGAGCAACCGAAGCAGCATGGTTCTGGATGACCAGCTCAGCGCTGCCAGCTCCACCGATGACCTGAAGGGTGAGGGCGGAGGACAGGACGGACACCGCAGCTCGGTGCACGAGCGCGTCGCTCACTTCGGTTCGCTCGCCAAGCAGAATTCCTCGCAAATGATGAAGCGCTTCTCCTTTTCCCAGAGGAGCAAAGAGGAGAGCCCGTCAGAGAGCTCCACCCCTTCGGGCCAGAACTCTGCTGCCCCATCTCCGCATGTGGAGAGCAAAGTTTTCAGCATGCTCCGCAAGCACAGCCTGAAGCAGCAGCCTGAAGCCCCAGTCACCAAAAAGGTCTGCATCCCTGAGGTGGTCGACAAGACCTTCCCTGCACAGATGCAGCTGCCGGCTGTGGTCGCTCCCAGCGCACCAGAAATACGTGAGCTGGAGCTCCAACGCCGCAACACTGGCGACTTTGGATTTTCTCTGCGTCGCACTACTATGCTGGACCGCAGCCTCGATGGAGGCGTGTACAGGCGCGTGGTCCATTTTGCCGAGCCTGGCGCCGGCACCAAGGATCTGGCTCTGGGGTTGGTGCCCGGCGACAGGCTGGTGGAGATAAACGGAAAAAACGTGGAGAACAAGAGCCGGGACGAGATAGTGGAGATGATCCGTCAGTCAGGGGACACGGTGAGGCTGAAGGTGCAGCCAATCCTGGAGCTGAGTGAGCTGAGCCGCTGCTGGTTGAGGAACACCGAGGGGCTTCGCAGGGAGGCCAGACATGTAAGCATCTCGTCCACTTGTACAATCAGATACAGCTCACGGTTACTTCGCCTTTAGGCTCAGTGTTGTGCTGTTTTCACACATCTGGGTCATCAGGTTATTTTCTTCCAGTGTTTTCCTGCAGTTTATTAAGATCGTACAACAGTTTCCCCTCTTCTCAGTGTTGAGCTCCTGCTCTATTGACGAGCTATTTCTGAAGCACCAGCTCGAGGGATGCCATGGTAGCTTCAGAGAGTTTCAAGTCTTGCCTTGAGTCTTTGAATCACATGTTCAAATTGACTATTTCTGTAAATTCAGTGATGATTTCTTTAAATTCACAAGTTTCCAGTCAACACATATTTAATGGCACCTAATGTTCCATTCACCTCAACTGTGTCCAGGTCTCCTTCACTTGTGTGTTTTCCCTTCCGTCTTATTCCCTTTCACCAAATGCTCAAGCAGGGAAGATGTAAGCAGAAAGAGGACACATGCTTTCTGAGACAGGAGCTGTCTCTTCCTGTGAACCGCCATCTAATGCGACATCCGAATCATTTGACAGAAGAAGTTCCATCGCAGCCTCTGATCGTTACTGAAATCATCGGGCTTGCTGGAAAGTCACTGATCCCTGCTAACAGTGTTTTGTGTTATTGGAATAAGAGTGAGATTTTGGAGCTCAGTATCCTATTCTTCTATTTCTGCAGTGATCAACAATGGTGCTCTGCTGTGAATCACCCACACACATTGTCTTTTCGACTGAAAAGCCCTGTCTCTCTCAAACACTGTTTCAGTTTCCATTTTACTTTTAAGCTGACAAACCAACTTTTTTTTATTCTTCTTTCCACTGAGATTAGTTTTATGTGGAAATTAAACATAATAATAATAATAATGTGTTTTTTTTAATGAACTACTGGTTTACAGTGGAGATGCTTTCAAGCTTGATAAAAGTGGATATACTGTTGATACAGGAAGTAGCATCATTGTTACCTCACAGCAGGAAAGTCCGAGGTTCTGACCTTTGCCGGGGAATCTCTCTTAGTGGATATCCTGCCCCCGTCTTAAGACATTCAGGTTCTGTAAGTGACACGGTGGTCCTTTATTTTCAGTAGGTGCAGGTCGTCTGTCTGTACGACGTGAGTGGGTTCAGACGATGATGTATAATTTAGATTTAACTTCTGTTGAGCATTTTGCTATAGTGTTGAAACAATATGTTTATTAATGTTACTCACTGTGAGGATCTTTGGCATTTGGTTTGAGAGATTTTTTTGCGATTAACAGAAGCAGAGTAATTTAGTATATCAGTCAAATCTGTGTTCAGTTTGCAGATGTCCTGCATTAGCAGTAGCTTAGTGTCCTCCAGTAGGCTCAATGTCTTGATCGTGGCCTGTTTGGCAGCGTCAGAGGGCTTTCTTTGTGTTCCTCCATTGGCTTTGGTTCAAGGGTCCTTGTGACACAGTCGGACTGAAAGCAGCTCTAACCC